TGGCTGTTTCTGTAAGCATAATCAGTGACTTCTGTTAATCTTCATCTCAGTTAACGTGACTCTATAACAGTAATCGATATATATACGATGACAATGGACATGATAGAAAATTCTTACTTCACTGTTTGCATTCAGGAAAAGAAAATACGTAATTCTGATATTTTTAAGAAATTCAAGCATTGGCTCTCATCTATAAACCTAAGATATAAGAGATTATTTACTGGCAGTAAATAATACAATTAATTTAACCAACAACTGACTTGTATTAAATATTTCTTATAAAATCTCAAAAACAGAATAATCATTGAAAATTACGTGTCTTTTGTTTTTGAAAAAAAAAAAAAAAAAAAAATGTTATTTATATATTTAACTCGCAGCAGAACAAACTGCTGTATGCGTAATTTCCTCCTGCATGCTAGAACATTATCAAAAGCGCAACATACCGCTAAAATAAATAAAAAAATACTCAAGAAGAAAACTACTGCTCAATTTTTGCCACCGGAGATTAGTACTATTATTAGCTCAAAAGGGCTATTGGTCTCAAAACGCCATTTTAACGTTGAATCATTGAAAAATGGTGTATCACTTTTTATAGAGTCGGTTTTCTTTGTTTGAATTTTGTACTGCAACTGGACAAAAAATATCTGCACTGCTACTCTTATATTATGGCGCAATGCAGATTAATTTTCAAATAATGCAACATGATCCCAGGAAGGGGATGCAGCCAAATTAAAATGAGGAATTAAAAGGACTGTTGATAAATTTAATTTTTTTCTACCAATCCCACTGAAGCTAAGAAAGATAATTTGCGATGAGGATTATTAATACACTTCAATACATTCCTTAATATTATCCTTTCACCTTACTGTAATAACTTAATGACTGAAGAGAGTGAAGTTGTATGTTTTAAATTTTGGTAACTAACTTTAGTAAAACAAAAAAGTCAATGTGCACTTACACATTACCTCTTGCAGACTTAAATGAAATTTCACTTTAAAATGTACCGTTCTGAGAGCGTTTTAGAAATTAAAAAAATCCATAAAAATTTAAAAATGGAGGAAAAAACCAAACCCCCCCCCCAAAAAAAATCATGTCTGGCAGTTTCATTTAGTATACATTTTTGAAGGTGTTTTTATGGTTTTATTAACGTTACAAGTGCAGAAAAACACGAAAAAGGAACTACTTTATGTTAGAAAATGAAATCGATTGCCAAAAAACAAAATTCAGTCTTGTTCTGGCGATAATGAGAAATGTTCTTCCTCATCGTCAAGTGCAAAATTAATTCTCCGCAAGCCCATTACTTCTAATCCCCCAAAAATGATACAAACAATAGTCCTATGAAAGGCAATGAGGATTCTTGTAAAAGTAGGAATTTTTTTTTTTTTTTTTAAATTTGTTAACTTTTCCTATTCCCTCTCTCTCCTCCACCTCCAAAAAAGGGGAAAAAATCACTATATTATATGTCGAAAACTGAGCTCTAACTGATGTAAACGCTAACACACACATTCAGCCTATATCAAGCTACGAAGAGCGAAGATGTCTAATTATAGCACCCGCCTTAGAATCGAGTGGCCTCTTACATTAGCTGATCCAGCAAAACTAAAACTAGAGAATAGTGATAATGAATGAAAGCGAAAAAAGATACGGTGAAGATTTAATTGTTTCCAATTGTAAGAGTAATACTTTTTCCCCCGCTTCCAACACAATCGTGATCAAGCATGAAAAGAATCGTAAAACAATGGAACGCAAAAATCTACAAAAAAAAAAAAAAGTCGGCCTGGCTCAAAAAGGTAAAAGGGCATCGTTTTTCTAATTTCGAACATCCAATTCACACTCACTATACTCTAGGAACAAGAGATAACATAGATAAGGATTTTTTTTTTTAATCAATGCATTCATCTATTTTAGGGCGTTTGTTTTGAACATAGCTGTATTCAGAGCCATCCGTAACTTGATCTATCAGCTTAAATGCAACCAGATTTAGAAGGCGGACTAATAACGACATGGGGAGGGGGGAAGATTCCTTGTGAAAAAAAAATCCTTCCGAAATTTGCCGAAAATGTGCCGCTGTTTCCGTCTGCACAGCAGAGAACTAGACAAATCAATAACAAAGAAAAAATTTCAGTTCAACCCCCTTTAATGCAGCAAATGCACTGCTCCAGAGGGTTATAGAGATTACATTTTAGTGCACCACAGCACTTTACTCAACAAAAGCGTTTCCTCAGCGAGCGTAGAGACATCTTACAATGCCCCCTCTTCTGACGCCCTGTTAGGTTTTCCTATACGGTCGTCACCCCACCGACGACTCAGTCTTCATCTTTTTTAATCCTCTAAACCATGTCTTGTACCATTCTCTAATAACTGAGGTTGCAAGGATGTTAGACTGTAGGCAGTGATTCTGTGGTCACTTAATGAGAGAACCATACAGCACTCTCCAGTACTGTATATGGGTTGCAAATCCCACTATTAGCCACAGCCAAATCCTGCCAGCCTTTTCCTCTCGTGGCGCTGGAAATGGGAGCGCTAAATGAGTGAACGGGAACAACTAGTCATTTGGAGGCAATGTGTTCTGTCATTATAAAAGTTTCTATGGTTTTTCATTGGCTGATCCCCAGAGGGTATTGGTTGTATTGAAACCTCCCGCAATAATACAGTGTATTAGATTAATCCGGTAAATCCAGTCAAGCTCTTGCAAAATTATGGCAGGTCTCTTGAAGCAGAGAAAGACAGACTGAAATGAAGAAATTGAAGTCTGTGATAGCCTCCAATTTTATGGTTATTGTATGATCAGACGTATGCATTAATAATGGTACCAGTGCTCCTGTGCAAATAATAGCCGCCAGCCCATTATTGGAAATACAGGGAGTGACTAGAGGGCTCTTGAGAAAGCCCCAGGGAAGAGTTAAATTTTGTTAGCAGATGTGGAAAGTTATAAGTTCCCCACACTTTTGCAGAATGCATTGCAGAAGTTGCAGAAGTGAGAAGAAAGTAATGTGCAATAAATTCCTATCCAAGGAAGAATTTAGATATGGGAAGTGCGCTTAGAAAGGGCCTTCAGCGCTTCTGTACGCGGAACATTTTGTATGAGCAGCTGGACATTTAGTATCGCAGTGCGTGCCCTTACCTTTGCTAAAGGTGTAATCAAAAATTGATGCAGTGAGCAGTATCCTCCTGGCAGGAATCCGTAGGGTTGCACATTGTACAAACTGGCGTTAATCTGCAGTTGCAACCGTAAAAACGTTGGTAATTATGGCAACGAGTCACTACGAAATATTGGCGGAAAAAGCAGACACTGAACTATAAAAACGTTGCTAAGTTTCTTAATAGAATCGAGATACTGTTGTGTAATTTCAATAGCCCAATCATTAGTTGAATCTGAATTTTGAACTGGGTAACGCTATACCGATAGACAAATGTACGGCCTGAATAAAATAGCAGCAGCAGCAGAATGGACTCTGCTGAAGTTGTGGAATGACAAAACTGGCCAGCATACCATGATACATCTGCGTGGTAACGGTATAGGTGTGTGGTCCTGTTAGAATAATGTTCCCAAAAAAGAATAGTCCGCTGATGAAATCCGCTATGCAGTCACAGCAAATGGGGATTTTTGGTAAATGCAGTGGAAGGTCCTGAACTGCATGGAAAAATTCGGATGCATAAATTCAAGAACTGCAAGACTTAGCAGTTCCATTTAGATGAAAAAGGGCCTCGTTTCACCATAGAATTCTCCGTTGTCGACCTCCATTCTAGCATGAAATGTCACAGCGAATGCCACCCATTTATCCTGCAGGTGGCTTACCTTATATGAGTAGAAACAGAGAACTTTCTGCAAGATTTACCATACCGTCGGAAAATTTTAATCTAATTTTCATGCTACGCCCCAGAGACTGCTACTATCAACAATGGTCCCATGGGTGCTGTCAACAATTGTAGTCACGACATCAGTAACTTTCTGCCACCGGTTTCCGCCTTCTATCAAACCCAAGTGCAAAGGACTCTGTTTTTCCAAGCTTCTGAACCACGTCTTTCAATGCATTGATAGAAGGCCTTTACGGTAGCTGTTACGAGTTCTAAACCCATGAACAGCACAAGTTGCTATCTTTATAGGACGAATTACTGACGCTGCTGTCGTTTAATAACCCAGCATTTTCATTTTCAAAATTTACATGTGTTTCATGTGCAGCTTTTCATTTGTGTAGACTACAAAATCACATTTCCTCCTATCTGTAATTTTCCGTACGATTTTTTTTTATCACGGAATCTTTTTCCAATACCATCAACAGCTCCCCCTTCCACATTTGGTGGCATTGCAGCTGATGGATCGAGCTACAAATGGCTTTGAGTAGTATCAGTTTAAAAACAAACACACTGTGCATATAATAAAGCTAATTGTAACGGAATCACCATATGAGTATCATCCTCTTTCACAAGAAACTTATCTAAATCTGAAATATCACAGATATAGTTCGACCGTCTCAAACGCAACCTTGGCTGGCATTCTGCCAAAACACACAGACTCTTTCAAAAGCGTTCCGCGTGACTGAACCTGAACCCCACTACAAGTTCCTTCGCCCCTTAACCAGGCATCACTTAAAGCGACACTGGTCGTCAATTTGCTACCTGCCAGTTCGCTTGGGCTGCCCGTCGCAGTGGGACATTACCCAGCGAGCCCGAAGGCACTACCCCCCCCCGATTATTAGAGCCACTCCGTTCTAGGACTAGGCAGGCCACCTAGTGAGTGACCTTTTCGGGGCCTCCAGAACCACCAACTTCAAAAATTTTATACCCGCGTGGCCGAGAAAGACTAGGTACAGATCCCAGCCAATAGCTTAAAAGAGTTCTCTACGCCGAACCCCCCCGGGGGGGCTCGACCGTAAGAGAGTCCCCATCCTTCCACCCTATTTTGAGAATAATTCGGCTCGAATGTCGCATGCATGTTTGCCCTCATGGTCGCGAATGAGGTGGTCGAACTACAAGTAAGTAATTGAGGTTTTCCTTACCTTTTTCAAATGACCAGAAGATGTGCCGAGAAAAGTGACGGTGTAATCGTGCGTGGAAGTGGCAGCAACTGCTGTCAGAAGAATTCCGGTAAACCGAAGAACAGGAGCGGCTTCCACTGGCATACTACCGCCCAGCGGCGTATTTACATCCATGCCACAAAATTCGTCGTTGATTTGTAATTGCTGTGGATAAGAAAGAAAGAATTAGCAAATTAGAGAAAAAAAGGGAAATTATTACAACTCGTTTTACTAAAGAGTAAAAATTAATAACAATATGAAAAGCTTGGAAATAAATATTTCATTTCACTTCACGATTTTTCATACAAGTTGGACATACAAATTATTCTCTTACGAATACGTTGCATAGGCCTCGCATTTTTAATACTTTAAATGAAAATTATTATTTCACATTTTTGTTTACAAATATAAATTTATCCTGAATCTAGATTACAGTTTATACAATTTTATAATTAAAAATCTGTCTTTCAAGAGCGGAAGCATCCTAAGCATATAAATAATCGTTCCAACATTTTTTATCTCTAAAGTACAAAATTATTTCTTCATGCGACAAGTGTACTTGTCTTCTTTTCTTCAACTCTTACGCAGATACAATGGATAAAAAGCCCCTGTCAATAGCCACTGCTTTTAAATAATTTAGTTCTTGATCAAGAGCCAATCTGGATGAGCAAACTTGAAGAGCATGGAAAACAAAGGAATAAAATGAAGCTAACTTCTGTCTAGTCAGATGACAAGTTTTGAAGTGTGGTGGAAGGCCTATTTTATATATTATATAGAGAGAGAGAGTAAAAAGTAATAAATTCCGAAACAAATCCCACAAAGACATCAAAGAAATGAAGTTTAAAATCAGGGCCTACCCCGAAATTCCCCAATAAAAAATGTAAAAAAAACTTTTCCACTGAGTGTTTTTTTAAAACAGAAGGAAATTTAAAAACAATATATATATATAAAAGAAAATCTGAAAGGTTTCAGATTTAAAATTACGTCCAAAAGGGCGTTTTTTTTACCATTTTGTGTGTTACCTTTATTTATTAAATATCATGTTCTTCGCATAAAATTCAATTCAAGAGCAATATCGCAAAATAATTTTAAATTGAACATATCTTTAGAATTTCCGATACACACACTCACGCGCTGGAGGAAAAAAAAATTTTTTTTTTTTCTGTACAACGTTGCCATTGCTCGATTTGAAATCGTTCAGTTTGTTAATCAAAAATTCGTTGGCGTTTTACAAAATATGAAATCGATAATACAACAAATTCCAAATTTCGGCTTCCATATGGTCCCTATTCGCAGTAGGATTATGTCATTCAAAATTGGATGGCTCTAGGTACCGTTGTTTTATCACAATGCGAGAAATATACATACATTTATGCAGATTCTTCATTATTTAATTTCTTCAAATATAATACAGGGCGATAATATTTGGTGGCAACAGTTTGAAAAGTGAAACGGACATTCAGAGTGGTTCGACGTAAAATTGCAAAACGAAAACAGTAGTTCCTCACGGGCAAATCCCCTTTGAACTAAAAAGAACAGGCATTGTCACACATTAAATGAGCCTATTTTTAACTCAATAATTTTTATTGCTAAATTAAAAAATCCAAACAATATTTAATATTTTTACGATGTTACAATATTTCTTTCTTCTTTAAAATGTCTTACGATGGCAATGCAAACGAAATAATAAATACAGGATCGAAAAAAAAATGTGAACCATTGCGAAAAAATTTCGAAAACAAAGGCCAAGGAAGATGAACATAAGTCCCACATCGGGGATGTACACGCCATTTGCACACAAAATTAAATTACTCGGTTCGAATACATCAGGCTAGAGTTAATAATCTAAAATTTGCCTCCTTAGAGAAAAAGGTTCATACATTCCTTATTTATCAATAACGGGATATGGAGACTCACACACGCACTAGTGGGGAGAGTAGAGGCGAAAAGAGGCAAGTTTGCACTTTAAGTCATGCTCTTCGATCCCCCGTGGCCATGAAGAGCTGCTGAACAATTCCACACGACCTACGATCTTTTATTTCTCTCGCTAGCTTTTTGAGAGAAGACCAAAAATAAGATTGATAAGATTGAGGGTGTCTTTGATTCGCTTCGCGACGTTCGTCTCGGGGGACATTGGTAGAGAAATCTGCACCCCTCCCAACTTTAGAAAGAGAACAGAGGAGAAATTAAGGAAGGATATATTTTCTCTGTTCTCAGCACTGTCTCTTTTCGGAGAAGAAATTGGAACCTGGTTAAGAAGAATGGGCCCAAAGGGGAAACAATTTATTCCAGACCATGCACTCTTTCCAAACACTAAGTACTCGTAAGGGCGGAGAAAAGGGGAACATGGAAGATTGCGCGGACCACGTTAAGTAGGTTACTTAGAATTCAAGTAAAAATACACTATAAGTCAGCGATGGCTGATCTGGCTTGGTGGTGGCGTGGCAAATGCGGTCAAGAGCAGGAGACTGACGTTAATTACGGAAGGGGAAAGTAAACGGCTGTGTCAGGGATCATAAGGGGAGATATATTTTTTTAAAAAAAGTGTTTTTTGGCTAGTTTATACATTCAAAGGAAAATACAAGTTACTCACTGAACTTCGCACATTAGTCTGAATAACCTTTAAACCCGATGAACAGTACATTTGTGTGACAAGGCGAGCTTTCTGACTGTACATCTGTTTTAACATTTAGCGAGCTTGTGCCGAATAAGTTTATTCGCCATTTTATGTAATTTCTGCAATATTTTGTAATTCTTTTATTTTTTCATTTAATTTTTATTTTTATAAAGATAATTTCTTTTTATTCACAAATATTTATATTTTCTATTCTTCTAATAAGTGAAACATTTAATTAAATTATGATATTTGTTTTCATAAGATAAAGTACGAAACCTTTGTTAAAATTTTCATAGCTCACTGTAGTTCAGTGGACCAGTATTTTAATGTGCCATTTTATTCGCGAGTCCATTCATCCGATTTGAAACTTGGGAATGAATTACAATCGATCTTTCCATTCAATTAGTCCTATCGACTTGAATACAGTGAGCCTGAGTAAACGGAAGTATCTTTTCGTAATATAAAAACCATTCTAAGCGCATTTCTAAATAATAATTTTAAAATTAATTTTCACAGCTTTTGACGCTGCTTTCATTTCTTGATTATAATATAAAATATGTTACTGAAAATTACGGAGAGAATAACACATACGTATCTGTTATTACGAGAATAAGTATGCTAATGTATGCGATAGGGCTTGAAAACTAATTTGATTCACCTTTCTTTTCTTTATGAATGACGATATCTGTTTGCCATACACGTGATCAAATAGGGAATAAGTTTTAATCCGTAAGAGATTAAGTATGATTAACATTTCATATAACTACTTTTAATTGAGGCTTTCTAAGAGCACCCCCTTAATTTTGACTCGACGCTTTTAATTCTAGACTAGGATATGAGCATAGAATCTACTTTAAACAAGGGATTTTTTTTTAAACACTGTGGCATGACAGTGCCTAGTAATAATAGTTTAGCGTCACTAAGAATCATTTTCTGGATTCTCATATTGATTGGTTTTCCAAAAGATATTAAAAGCTGCAATTGACGGTATGAGCAATGCATAATACATACATATATAACGTAAGCATACCATAAAGAAAAATGAACCCCAACAAAAGCTGATCGACTGCTATTAAACTCTAAAGAGGGGTTATCAGAAGGGAAATGGCAATTAAAAATCAATTAAAATTCCATTTAATTGATTTTAATTATTTATTTACTGTATCATTTATTATTAATTCTAATGGATTGGAATATTTGAATATGAATTAGCTGAATATTTAAGAAAAATATTATGACTGCGAGAATAGGAAAAAAAAAACATTTTTTGAATATTTACTTTCTTATAGAATGCAGATAAATTCATTTTTGCTCAATGAAAATCAAATTTGTAGCTAATTAATCTGTCCTGTATCGAGCACTTTAGTTCAGTGATCCGTATAATGTGCGCTTTTTTTTTTTTTTTTTAATTTAAATGTTTCAAGAATAATTAGAAAAGGGCATAACTCTCTTCTTACCCTTAAATTCTTCAATAAAAAAACTGCATTTTCAGCTATAACCAAGTGAAATAATTTTCTAAATATATTCAAAGCAATGAAAATAAGGTACATAAACAGCTTGGAAATGGAACTAGCATTGAGATTCTCTTTAAGAAATATGGTGAAGCTTAGCAGAAAGTCTACGAAGTGAAGTAATTCCGTAGAATATTTTCTCTTTATGATTAAATTGCTCTCAATTATACTTTATAAACGACATGTAAATACTATTTAATGTATATGTGTGGATGTGTGTGTAGCTCACTAGCGGCTGAGCTGTAAAACCTGGCAGGTCGATCCGGGGTTCGAATCCGGATCGACGGGGATGGCTGTATTGGCGTTTTCGAGGTTTTCCCCACGTGTAACGTGCATAAGAGTCAGTTTTGCTTAGAAAGTTCTCCACGAGGCACCCTTACCCTTAGGCAAATAACAGTCGAATGCTTTGCTATAATCAAAGAAACCAGACCCAAACAATAGATATATAAATAAGTAGCTTAAAACTGCTATATTTACGTATACTTATCAAGTAATATTTCAAATATATAATGATTAAAGAAAGGAAAAGTAGGATCCTAACTGATTGTATATAATGTAATCCCTATGAAAGGCCCTAACAGTTCTTTCTCACTTAAAGTCGTAACCCAAAAAGAGAACAAATTAAACTTCAGATACGTATCAATACTGAATCTAATACAAAAATACAAAAATATAAATAAATTATATGTACGAAACCTAACTAACCATTTATATTGATATTACGTAAATATACGTATGGTAATGAACATTGTATAATAAAGATATTTTATACCTTGTTCTATATTTGGTTCCATTTATATACCTATACATAGATATATATAATTAAGGATTCCATTTAAGGATTATAGTAGTAGTTAATACTACTACATATAAAACACAAAAAGTGCATCAATAATGTATCTTTCAGTATTATTTAACTTCCTTTTAAGAATTTTCTGCATTATAGTTTGCGTTATTTATTCTAAGTCTCATATAAAAACAACTATTGTTTATATGTCATTAGAAAATTAACCAAAAAGCAGCGACCACAATGTAAT